TTTTTTTTTAAATGAGTATCTTCCCACCCCTGATTTCAGTAGGCCTGGAAATCTGTATGTTTCAAAGTTGCTACAGGGAAATCTGATGTGTGCTGCTGGTTAGAAATCATTCTCTAAGGGTTTATTGAATATAATTCATAAGTAACTAAATTATAAAAATATTTTAAATTATTCATACATAAATGTTTTCTGCAACTGACATATTAAAGAAGTAATGTAGTTGTATTTTCCGCTTGTGGTATTCATATTCTGCTTACTGTCTAATTGCTATTAATGTAAATGAGTCATTTCACAACTCATATCACCTTTAAAAAGTGTTATTATAGTTGTCATAGTATTAGTACAATGAAATCTCTAATGCTCATTTCTGGTAAGTTTTGTAGCTCCTTAGGGCTTGGTAATTAATTACAAGTTCTTGTTTTTTGTTTTTTAATCTTGCAGGTTCTCGAAGCACATCCAGCTTATCCAAAAATCAGAAAGGATATACTTGATAAGGCCCGTGCATCTCTAAGACCTTGAATATTATCTTAACATAATTTGTTGGTTTAACAGGAAACAAAAGAATCTGGTTATTAGCTTTTCCAGTTCAAAATAGGTCTGAGCTAGTGCATTGTAGTAAAAGCATACTTTTCCTTCTCCAGCAGAGGTTGCTGTTGTATATGAAGAGAAGTGCTATGCCAAATTGATGTTTTGTAATGAAGAAGTTGAATGAGGGCTGGTCTATTTGATTGACTCTCTTTTGATTAGGTAGTTTTGGCATCTCCAAGGTAAAGATTATAACCCATTCTATAAAGAATATTTTGTTAAAATCTGGTTAATTAAATAATAACCTATATCTTTTTCATGGAATATTAGTTGTTTATTTCAGGAAATAATATTTAAAATGTTACTGTTCTCTGTTAAAATTTTTGTAATGTTTTACCTTGTTTCAAAGATTTGAGCAAATCTCATTGTAAATAGTTTATGAAAAAGGAAATATGTATTTCAATAAATGTTTTATGACTTTATGGCTTGTATTCCTCTTAGAACTCAAAAGACATGTTTTGCAAAATCTGTATAAGCTACCCATGTAGCAGAAAATGTGACTTTCTTAAATTTTTTTTTTAAGAAAATAATAAAGAGTGTGCATTTCCCTTCCTTCTGTTGATCTCACTCTTCCTACTCTTAGTGACAGTGTAGTCTTAAGAAATAATCAGTATCTGAAATCAGTTTAAATATGTAAACCCTTATAGCAACATTTATCCTTACCCTGGAAGACTAGGCCTTTTGGTGTAATTTCAGACACTGTAGTATCTACTAGAAGGGGAGAGGGTAACAAAATATTTTTGGTCATCAGGGATTCACAAAGCACACCATGTGAAGACAACTGCTTACCCTCCTGTGCCTAGCAGCACCCTGGCCAGAGCACCTTTCACCCTTTACGCTGAATTTAACCTAATCTTAAATCAATAGCATAATTTTTCATTTGTGGTCTACATTTTTTCAGTTGTCTGCAAAAAAACCCAAAAATAATCTTCAATTTTATTTGCATTTGCAGTAAACAAAAGATATTTTTAAAAGTCATTTGTTGTTTTTTTAAATTGTCGTGTTCTTATTTCTCCTGAGCTACATTCTCTTTATTTCTAATCACTTCTTCAGTTTTCCAAAGTCCTTTTAATTCCAGGTGTATGTTATAAAGTCTTAATCATTCTTCTTTTTTGACCTATTTTTTAATCTATGGCATTTCACAAAGCTGTTTAATAATATTTTTGGAGCGTTATCATACTTGGCTAAAACACTTTTCCAGGTCTTATTACATTTGATTCTCACAACCTTACGTTGTAGTATTATTATCCCTGTATTACAGTTGGAGCTGTGACAAATTATCTCTTTCCATTTAGTTAAAAATCTTTCAGCCTGAATGGACATTGTTAAGGACTCCTGTAACAGAATGTCTTTCTTTAGTAGTTCCAGTGAACTTGCATCATGGGATGCTAGAATCATGGAAATTGGATAGAGAAAAGGAGAGCATCTGTTCTCCCAGTAAGACATTTCCAAATCAGTTTTCCTATCTGTATAATGAGGGTTCTGTTTTTGTTTCTTAAGCAGCCATTTACTTTGCACTTGACATTTATTAGATGCAATTCCTAGGGACTTTCCTTATATTATGTCTTAATTCTTACCCAACTCTCTAGAAAAGAATATTTTCAGATGAGGCAAATGAGACTTAGGCTTAATGATTTGCCCAAGGTCACATACTAAGTTTCAGAACTTGGATTCCACACTGGGCCAGCAGACTCCAAAGTCTATGCCCTATTTCCTATAATAAGATGCCCTCTAGAGGTATTATCTCTGGAAAAAATCATCTTGTCTACATCTGGCTAGCATATGAAACTAGTAAGTGCTCTTGCCTGAAATTCTGTAACAGAACTAAGTACTGAAGAACAAGATGAACTGAGTGGACTGAACAGTTCTTACAAATGTAGAAACTATCAAAGAGAAGTGTACGTGAGGAGCAATGTAGTGGAGCAGTTAAGAACATGGATTTGAAGTCAGACTGGCTGGGTTTCAATTTTGGCTCTACCACTTAACTACATGTTTCATCTTTGTCAAGTTAACGTAGGCTGCCTTAGTTTCAGTTTCTCATCCATAAGGAAGCATATAAGGATAATTCCTGCCTCAGATTATTGGGGGCAT